CTTCTCTCTCTCACTGCCCCCTTTGCCTTGGTTACTTGTGCTGAGTCATACAAACAGAGTGAGACAGTGGTGGCACAGAAGATGCAGTGCAGATGGAAGAGCAATATGTGCATTCATGTGAAATAATGGGTGACAACATAACATAATAGGATAGTAGCTTGTCATGTTAACTGATTAAAGATCTGTGAGAAAAGAAAAGAGGAAAAGAGTGCAAAGCATAATGCAGTTTTGAAATCCCTGCTGAAAATTCCCACATTGCTGGTCACCAGCATACAAGGTTTCCAGCACGGGAAGCAAGTGTGCTGGTGGACCTGCATAAGGTATGTTTTGCATGCAGGGACCAGCTTGGGATGCTGGTGTGCTGGTGGACCAGAATGTTATCTTTTTGGTGCTGGTATGATCTCAGCAAAAACAGAACTCACATATGTATTACATTTCACATTTCTTAGTTTGTGTTCATAGGAATAATTACTAATTATTACTAATAATGACTAATTATCCAATTAATTGTAATGAATAATTTAATAAAGAAAAACACGTAATGCAGGTTACATGTTTATTTGCACAGCAAAATCTTCAGTGTTAAATGAACACTGCTAAGTATTCATAATGGCTTTATTTCTTCTGTGTGGTACATGTAGTGAATGCAACTTTCATTATCAAGAACTTCTCATAACCATGATATTGAACAAGCTGTTTATTATTATATTATTTGGCATTTTTCTAAATGTTTGTGTTTTGCAATGTACACAAGCTCTTTTTAAATGTTTTAACTTATTTGTGTACAGATCCTTTGAAATTGATGAAAAAATCCTTTAAAAATGTTTCACCAGTTAGATTTTGTTTTCTTTGATATTCAAAACTTCAGGTAACATTGATTAATAATATAATCATATCTAAAATTCTCAGTTCTGCCATCAACAGAGGGAGCAAAATAAATGTATTACAATAAATCATGTTTAAAATGCAATGTACATAATCTTATATGGAGTTTACATCATTAATGCCTTAAACAATGAAATATGCAAATAAAAACAATGCTTGTTCCCAAACACACTGTTTCCATACAGACACACTACTCACGCCTACTCACACTCAACCCTGCTCCATTTCGCTTGAGAACAGCATGACTATGCTGGTCTACCAGCTAAAGTAGCACTAACCAGCACTGTACCAGTACTAACCAGCATGAACCAGCCTGGATCATTATGGAATTCATCCTGGTTTATGCTGGATTTTCAGCAGGGATAGCATTTGAATTTGCAGAATTAGCATTTTAAGTAAGCTTAAAATGTATTGCAAACAAAATTCTAATGTGCTAGAATAGTTTTTTCTCACCATTTTCTCATCATTCTTTTTGTCTTGCAGTCTGCATGTAGAAAGCGGTCACATGACTGGGGCACAGAGCTTGCCGGAAAGCAGAAAGTGAGTGGCAGCCATGGAGGACACTAAGAGACAGTGCTCTGTACCAACTCCCAGAGCAGGAGACTCAAGGCCAATCTCCCTTCTCTCTCTCTCTCTCCTTAAATCCATCCATTCACCCCTCTTTTCCTTTTTCCAAATTCCTTATAACTCAGCTGCCATCACGAGGTCTCGCGCAACTCCCAGAGCAGGAGACTCAAGGCCAATCTCCCTTCTCTCTCTCCTTAAATCCATCCATTCACCCCTCTTTTCCTTTTTCCAAATTCCTTATAACTCAGCTGCCATCATGAGGTCTCGCTCCTCACTGGACTCACTGAGGGATGTCCCCTACTCCCACTTTCCTGTATTTTGCCAAATTGCATCAGATGCCATTTTCCCACCTGCAACTTTTGTGATGAACATTTTCTTTTTTTATTAGTTGTCTGCAGCCTGTCGAATGGAGAGAATATTGTATGAGCGAATGTGTGTCTGTGGTGTTGAAGTAGGTGGGTTGTTATTTTGTATATTGTATTTAAATCTAAAATATTCTCTCAACCCTCTCAAACATGTTCTAAACTTCTTTAAAAAACATTGAAATCGATGTCATGCTGGTGTAAAACAACAAAATATCATTTATAATTTAATGTCATTTTAACAAACATGGTACAGATACACCCTCTACAGCTATAGCAAATGAAAAAGCGCATAATATGCTGTGGCTGTAATGTGAAAATGAGGTAAAATTCAGTTAACTCTGAAACACAATGTCCAGTCATTATCATCTCCAGTCTCACTGTAGATATGCCACTTCGTCCCTTACTGTGAAATGTTGTTTTTTTATTATGTATATTTATCATGTACAATCACAATGCACAATTTCACCATTAATGTGTGACATTTGAGATTTTAAGAGTCAGATGTTCAATTTGATTTGCTTTCAGTGGTACCCTGTGAAAATTGATGATCATGATGATAAATGCGTAGGGAACGTTTAGAAAAGGACATTTTTTGATTGTCCTCAACGTACATGTGCACTTCACTGTTTAACAGCCTAAGCGAATGCATGTTTCAACACCAAAAATGCACCTGAGGTTAAAAGAAAATTGGGAGATAATTGTGACAGATAATTGAGAACTGAAGTAACATCATGTATTGGTAAACTCTCCAACACAGGTTACACATGGTTTTAATTCAGATATGTGGGTATTCAGTAATATAGTGTAGAATATTTTTCACATTCCTAATCGCTGTATCAAGGACTATTTCTTTGAAAGACGTAGTAGATGCCTTATTGTCAGTCTCTTTAAAGTGAGTCTATTATAGCCATACATGCAGACAGGAAGACGAGGAAAGCATTTCAAAATCAAATGTAAATGAGTGACAGTTGTTGTGTGTTTGGATGATGATGATGATGGCAAACTGTAAAGGAAAATTTAGTACAAGTAAATTCAGGTCTTTGATTTCCAAAATTCGAGCACTCAAATGTATATGCTGGTCAACATTCAGAAAGTCTGCAAATGACAGTCTGCACAGCGGTGCATCATCTTGAATAGAAAAACAGCTTTGCTACTACTGTCACGCTTTGAATGAACAGCCCACTCACATTCTCTTCTTAGCTTTTTATAATACAGTCTACTGTGAAGCTCTAACATTTGTACAAATTGTATACCTATGTACCTTAAGTCATATTGTAATATTAACAAATAACCAATGAATGTTATGTACCAGTAGCATGAGCCTCATTTCTTTTTGTATTCTTCAAGCGGTTAATAGTATGGTTACAAAATCATATCTATATTTCATTTAAATAAAGCTAGCGTAAATCAAGCTTGCCTTTTCTTTTCATTGCCCTTTGTTCTGTTTGTGTGTATTGCTAGGTATTGTGAGGATACAGAAAATGCAATCTAAGTATATATAACTGAATTGGCATAAGCTAACTGCTGGTCATATTTAAGCGGAGTTAAAGTTCATAACGTTTTTGCAAGTTTTGGTGTTGTGGCGCCTCATTAAAAAAAAACCAATGGTGCCATCTTGTGGCTCACACAGCCAGACTTGAATAAAATTGCGGTTTGCGTAAATTATTTTTAAAAATAAGCAGCAGTGCTATTTCATGTTATAATATTAATAGTGTTTGTTTCACATGGGTGGCGGATACAAATGATATTTAAGAAAAGTTTAATTTAGAAAGGTTTTCTAATACCCGTTATACATGGCTGTACAAAATTGATTCAAGCAGAGAATGGATTACTTTTAGTACCATTAAAAAGTTTGGGGTTGGTAAAATTTTTTAAACGTTAACAAAGGCTGCATTTATTTAATAAAAAATACAGTAAAAACAGGAATGTTGTGAAATATTATTATTAATATTATTTAAAATACATTTATGTTCATATTTTAAAATTAAAATATTTTTACATTTTATGTTTTAATTTGTTGGGGGGAAAAGTATCAATATCTTAAAAAAAAAAAAAACGTTTGAACAGTATTGTATATTAAGGAAATAAATACACATTTCAAAAACATAAGGATTTATTACCATTATTCACAATGAAAATGCAAAGGAAGTATTTTTTTTCCAGAGACAACTGTTCATGTTCCTGAGGAGCGAGAGATCACAGTATGTTTGCCTTGGCTTTGGGGCACCTTTACCCCTCCCCTCCCTATAACTGCCTCAAAGAGTAACAACTTGCATATGTACAAATAATAAAGAATTGTAACAATACTACAGAAAAAAGGCATGACATTGCCTGATGTATGATTACAAGAAACAGGAGGCCTCGTCAAAATGAACATTAAAAAATATATATCCTTGTAACAAAATGAAGCAAATGGTCATTCCTGGGTTCTAATGAGCTTTTCAGTAGTAACTTAACTCACAGTGCTCTTACAATAAATTCCTACAAAGGTCTTTACAAAGAGAAAGATGGAAGAAATATTTAGCACTGAATGTAAATCGCCCTGGTTTTACGTTTCCTGATGTAGCACAAGTATATTTATGAGAGTAGTCAGGGATCTTTAGTAGATATCAGTGCTTTTACAGCATGACCTCACTGTCAGTTTCATTAAAACAAAGACATCCAATGCAGAGATGACAAATATACAGACACTAGAACAGATAATATTCGACAGTAAATGCATTGAACAATATACAACCTCTGAGATTATAAAATTCTTTGTAAATAAAGCACTGTACATAAAATTAGAAAATGTATATAAAACTCAAAAATAAGGAATATTCAAGCAAATCATTTCATGGCAAAATTAAATCGGCGAACAGTGACAGAAATATCTCCCTTCAAGCAACGTTATGTACATGTGTACGAATGGCCACAGTGTTTTCTAAATTCACACACAGTAACAACTTTGATTAAACACACACAGCACAACTGTAAACATGTTGAACCACAGTGAGAGCAACACAACCAGACTGCTGATGAGCTGCCGCCAACCAGTGTTTTACAGTGTGGATGCTTATCATTTAGGCGGCAATGGCACAAAAAAAAGCACTGTAACAAACACATGTGAAATTACAAAAGTGGAATAATTAGGCAAATATATTGTGGGTCACGTTAACAATATAAATGATGTTCGACAGGTAATCTGGCACTGCATGAAGGTTATCTACAATTACACCTTGCTCTTGCTAACCCAACGCATGTAATGAGAAATTAGAAACAGTGTGAGAAAGAAAAACTTTGAGATCTGTGCAACACTTCCCGGAGGCACTGGAAGATAAAGTTGACTTTGATCCTCGACCCTTTGATGCAAATTGCAGGTTAGTTTAAAACCGGTTGAGGTAGTGAATGCTCATCCTAAACCAAGACCCACATTTAGCTGCTCAGAAAATTTCATTTTATTTTCAAAATAAATTTGTGCGCTGTACTCTAAAACTAATCATTTTGTGGCTTTAATATTTTAAATATTCTATCGAGTTACCAATCCAACCTAATGAGGTCTACGTCTGATCTGCACTGTGACAAACGCAGGATTACAGCAGTTCACTACATCCTTTTTTCTGTATGCTGTTAGACAGGAAGAAAGGGCTTTAACTGCAACACAAACTAAATGACTCAAGTAACTAATAAACTCCTTGAAAGAAATACAGAATCAAGCAGGAATTTGACTTGCTGGACTAAAGATGCTGTAAATCTGTTATAAATATAGTAACCAAATTTATGTGTTAAAAAAAGCAGAAAGTAGAAGTACTTTTCAGTACTTTCCAGAAGTAAAATCCCCAGAAAAAAGAAACAATATAACAGAATTTTCCATCTGTAGCTTAACTTCTGATCATAATTTACCCACGATTGAAATGCAATACATTAAAAAAAACAATACTTTGAAGTGGATGAATGCAAAGCTATTCTACAAAGACTTCCTCAGTTTTAATAGGCGTTATCAACGGCCCACCATTGGATGAATCCGAGCCTTCGTCTTTGGCCAGGCTGTCATTGTTCAACCCACTGATGGCCATTTCTCCAGCCGCTCCAACTGAGAGCGCACCCTGGTTGAAGCACAGGTGCTTGATCACCTCATTGGGGCTGGAGAAGGTCATTTCACACACATTGCATTTGTATGGTCTCCCAGAAGAGCCGAGAAACAGCGCCTCCATTTGGCTGGAGTCGTCCGCGGCGCACAGCTCCATGCTCTGTCTGTCTACCATGGTGTACGCTGGCTCCGAGCCCAGATTCATGCAAACGTGCCGGGCCGCTTGGTTGGCCCGACAGAAGCTCTTGCCGCAGGCGCTGCAGCGGTACGGCTTTCCCGTATGGATGTACATGTGCTCTCTCCAGTGGCTCTTCTGGATGAACTTGCGGCCACAAGTGGAGCACTCATATTTCCTCCGCTTCACTTCCCGCTCCATGTCAGCCGCACCCTCTAGGTTGTCAATATCAGCAATATCGGATGGAGGTGGAGTGTCGGCCTGGGGCTGCACCATGCACATGCTGACTGCAGTTGTTGTTGGGACAGGCATAGCTGTTTCAGGGTGTGGTGAGTCTTTTGAGTACACATGTTGCTCGCTGTCACTGGCACCATCCACGATGATGGGAGTGGCTGCAGTGGCTTCGCTACCTCGGAGAACTTCCTCCACCTCTGGTGTGGCGGCACATCCAGTCACTGACTCGAACACCAGGGGAAGCATAGCCTGAGTGTGTAGAAGCAGGTGCTCTCGTAAGGCTCCTCGCTGGGTGAAGCGATCCCTGCAGACATGGCACGTATAATGCTTCCTAAATGAGGAACTTCTTCTCATGATGCTGGGCTTCACATGCAGAATGGTGTTGGTGCTCAGGGAGCAAGACGGGGCCTCACTTGCAGATGTTTCCGTCTCACCGCCTTCCCTCACAAACTGACTGGTGCTCACAGACGCTTCCATCTCCGCTTCTGACAGAGCTTGCCTGTGCTTGGATACAAGTGAGGTAGCTTTGTTTGTGGTAATGCACTTCCCATCGAGCAAACTTCCACCTTCCAAGTCGAACGGCGAAGAGAGATGTGTTCTCGCTGAGAGGCGGTTTGTGAGTGTGGCCTGTTGGTCTGATATCTGAATGCCATAAAGAGAGGACGACAGGGGAAGGCTGACCTCAGGGTGCACCTGAGTCACATGGCTAGCCAGACTTGCCTCCTGAATGAGAGGGTACGCATGCAGAAACTTGACGCCCTGCTCAAGGCGAGCTGGGTCGATAAACTGTGTCGCCAGTTTTCCGGTGTACATCAGATTGAGGAGGTAGCTGAAGATGTCGGGCTGAATGTCAGCAGGCTTCAAGCGAACACAGTCACTGGTTGAGAGGATAAAGAAACAGGTGTTTGAACATGTTGAAAAAAAATAAAAAATACACATGCTATGGAAGTGCTTTAACACCTTACATTTTAGCACAAATGTTTATCCCTAAATAAGGCATTCATTGCACATTAAAAAAAATAAATCTCAATAAAATGATTAGACTAACATGCACAATCTGTTGGTGTCAATTATCAATATTGGCTATTTGTCCAGTTGATAATTGTGCATTTTCTCCTATTACAGTTTACATGTAGACTATCTAATGTTAATGTTACTTTAATCTTTAAGGTTGGAATACACTACATGGCTTTTGCCAAGATTTCTGCCTCATTACGGTCTAGACTAGTTGACGCTAGTTGCCAAATGTAAGAGCCATTTGTCAGTTGGATTAGATCAATTTAGCAAAAAATCATGTAGTGTAAATTTTATTTTTTTTCAGCTTCGCACTATGATTGTGTCCAGTCAAGAGGATATTAAAGGGGTCATATGATGCGATTTCAAGTTTTCCCTTCTCTTTGGAGTGTTACAAGCTGTTCGTGACTAGATAAGATCCCTAAAGTTGCAAAGACTAAAGTCTCAAACCCAAAGAGATATTCTTTATAAAAGATAAGGTCCACGCACTCCTAAAACGCCTCGTTTAAACACGCTCCCACATGTCCACGTCACAATGTGGGAAGATTTGCATAACGCCACCCAAATGTTCATGCTAAGAAAGGCGGCGTAACTTTATTTGTTTGGCCTTTCAAAAGAGGACACAACTAGAAATCAGTGGTCAAGTTGTATTTACAACACTGTTCCAGAACAGTTCAACCCAAATATTCAGATGTGTGCAGCACATTTTATGGAGGACTGTTTCCTGATCCTGGTAGAGTAGACTACAATGCCAGCTGTTCTGACTCACAGAAGTACATTTTCATATTTAAAGAATTTGCCACTGATGATTCAAACTTGACTTTTGAGCAGCGTAGAGTAGCGCTTGTTGTTTCTCCAATCACAAATGCAGACATGGCTTTATGTTTATGCGGAGCGATGCAACACAACGTGTAAAAAGACAGTACAAGTCATTATAATCCATAATTATGTCCCCACTGGATGCAACAAATGCCTCGTTTGTAACGGGTTTTATTGGTTTTGTCTCGTCGCACCGGGACACAGCATCACAATATGGTAAGGGGCGTAACATTTCCATCATTCGTATTCGGCCAATCACAACGCACTAGATAGCTGGCCAATCAGAGCACACCTTGCTTTTCAGACCGATGAGCTTTGTAAAAATCTATGCGTTTCAGAAAGGCGGGGCATAGAGGAGAAACAATAATGTACAGTATGTGGAAAATAATGTGTTTTTTTAACCTTAAACCGCATAAACATTTCATTACACCAAATAATGTTCTTTTTAGGAACATCATATGACCCCTTTAAACATGTTTGATGTTTGTCATGCATCTCCTAGCAATGAGGCACATTATACTGTGTGAGATTGTTCTGTTCAGGAAGACATAAGTCTAGTAGTGTGTGATCCTAAGTCATTCAGTATGATGCCCAAATCTGTTCAGATTTGAAAAGTCATGTAGTGTATTCAAGCCTTTTTCATATCGCACATTATAATGTTGTGATGCCTATATTTACTTGTAGCATTTAAAATGAATACTTTACAATTTAAGTTTTTTTTTTTTTATTTAGACAAATTAGTTTCAAATTTTAATATTGGCCATTTATTAGTTATAACATGAGAACAATTATCAGTTTACCATATCACATTCCTAATTTAGGCACAAAATGGACTTTAAAAAAATCATACATAAAGCGGTTACCTGTCCTGGTGTATAAATAGCATTCTGAAGTAGTTCGAGAATGCGGCCAATACGGCCTTGTGTGCTTTGAAAAAGACATCACCGATGGCGACCGTGCAGTCACACAGGAAGCCAAACTCCCTCTGCGCGTTGAGCTGCTGCAGAAGGATAAGACCATGATTGGCCAGCTCCATACTTCCACCTACACAGAAAGGGCCAGAGATGACAGTCAACTTCCTGTCTACTATAGACCACAATGCACACAAAAAAGACTGAGTGAAAGAAGGCTGTTAAGTTGTTTGTTGATATGGACTTAATCAGCAGTGAACCGCCGAAAATATGAATCCAACACTGTAAAAGTACAATTGCACAAAAGGCTGCAAACGAACAGCGCGCATCTGAAGTGTCTCTGAAGGAAATAATGCATTATTTATCGGCTTTAAGATATCGGCCAAATTTTCTTATCAGGCCGATACCGATAACAGAAAAAATTTGCATTTATCGGCCGATACCAATATGGTGGCCGATATATCGTCCGTAATTAAAGTTCTGAAAGAATTTCCTTGAGATAAAAACTGGAACTAGAGCATTCAAGATTCAAAAAAAGACAAAATAATTCCAATATTAAAGGGGTCATATGATGCGATTTCAAGTTTTCCCTTCTCTTTGGAGTGTTACAAGCTGTTCGTGACTAGATAAGATCCCTAAAGTTGCAAAGACTAAAGTCTCAAACCCAAAGAGATATTCTTTATAAAAGATAAGGTCCACGCACTCCTAAAACGCCTCGTTTAAACACGCTCCCACATGTCCACGTCACAATGTGGGAAGATTTGCATAACGCCACCCAAATGTTCATGCTAAGAAAGGCGGCGTAACTTTATTTGTTTGGCCTTTCAAAAGAGGACACAACTAGAAATCAGTGGTCAAGTTGTATTTACAACACTGTTCCAGAACAGTTCAACCCAAATATTCAGATGTGTGCAGCACATTTTATGGAGGACTGTTTCCTGATCCTGGTAGAGTAGACTACAATGCCAGCTGTTCTGACTCACAGAAGTACGTTTTCATATTTAAAGAATTTGCCACTGATGATTCAAACTTGACTTTTGAGCAGCGTAGAGTAGCGCTTGTTGTTTCTCCAATCACAAATGCAGACATGGCTTTATGTTTATGCGGAGCGATGCAACACAACGTGTAAAAAGACAGTACAAGTCATTATAATCCATAATTATGTCCCCACTGGATGCAACAAATGCCTCGTTTGTAACGGGTTTTATTGGTTTTGTCTCGTCGCACCGGGACACAGCATCACAATATGGTAAGGGGCGTAACATTTCCATCATTCGTATTCGGCCAATCACAACGCACTAGATAGCTGGCCAATCAGAGCACACCTTGCTTTTCAGACCGATGAGCTTTGTAAAAATCTATGCGTTTCAGAAAGGCGGGGCATAGAGGAGAAACAATAATGTACAGTATGTGGAAAATAATGTGTTTTTTTAACCTTAAACCGCATAAACATTTCATTACACCAAATAATGTTCTTTTTAGGAACATCATATGACCCCTTTAAACATGTTTGATGTTTGTCATGCATCTCCTAGCAATGAGGCACATTATACTGTGTGAGATTGTTCTGTTCAGGAAGACATAAGTCTAGTAGTGTGTGATCCTAAGTCATTCAGTATGATGCCCAAATCTGTTCAGATTTGAAAAGTCATGTAGTGTATTCAAGCCTTTTTCATATCGCACATTATAATGTTGTGATGCCTATATTTACTTGTAGCATTTAAAATGAATACTTTACAATTTAAGTTTTTTTTTTTTTATTTAGACAAATTAGTTTCAAATTTTAATATTGGCCATTTATTAGTTATAACATGAGAACAATTATCAGTTTACCATATCACATTCCTAATTTAGGCACAAAATGGACTTTAAAAAAATCATACATAAAGCGGTTACCTGTCCTGGTGTATAAATAGCATTCTGAAGTAGTTCGAGAATGCGGCCAATACGGCCTTGTGTGCTTTGAAAAAGACATCACCGATGGCGACCGTGCAGTCACACAGGAAGCCAAACTCCCTCTGCGCGTTGAGCTGCTGCAGAAGGATAAGACCATGATTGGCCAGCTCCATACTTCCACCTACACAGAAAGGGCCAGAGATGACAGTCAACTTCCTGTCTACTACAGACCACAATGCACAAAAAAAAAAAAAAAAAGACTGAGTGAAAGAAGGCTGTTAGTTGTCTGTTGATATGGTCTTAATCAGCAGTGAACAGCCATAAATATGAATCCAACAGTGTAAAACCAAACAATAAGTTAAACTCTAGGGTACACTTGGAATATGAATATTACAACTAGTAGACTAATATTGCTCATACTTAGGGTAAAGGATTTAAACAAACCAATAAACTCTAAGTATGACACTTTGGCACACAACTCTTCCCCCATGATTTGTGCAACTAAAATGAAATAACATGAACCTTAAACTGTGTTGCTTTTTGGGAAGGTATGCCGTTACTTTAAGCTATAGGATTTAATTACAGTGCTTTTAAAGCAGTCCATACAGTGCTTTCAAGGCACAGCAGTTCATCTACTAAAGCCTAATACCTGAACACTATTTCTTTTGCTACTTTCTTTATATCTGCAAATCTACTTCTCATTCACATTTAAAGGGATAGTTCACCCAAAAATGAAAATTCTGTCATTAATTACTCACCCTCATGTCGTTCCAAACCCGCAATACCTTTGTTCATCTTCGGAACACAAATTAAGATATTTTTGATGAAATCCGAGAGCTTTCTGACCCTGCATTGACAGCAAGGGAACTACTACCTTCAAGGCCCAGAAAGGTAGTAAGGAGGACATTGTTAAAATATTCCATGTGACATCAGTGGTTCAACCTTAATTTTATGAAGCTACGAGAATACTTTTTAAGCGCAAAGAAAACTAAAATAACGACTTTAACATTTCTTCTCTTCCCTGTCAGTGTCCACCGCCGTTCACAAGAGTACCACAACACATGCGTGTGCATTCCTCTGCTTGTAAACAAGGCGCAGCGCATGCATGTTCAACATCAGTGAGAACCGTAAGGTTGAACCACTGACATCACATGCACGATTTTAACAATGTCCTTACTACATTTCTGTGCCTTGAATGTGATCACTTGCTGTCTATGCAGGGTCAGAAAGCTCTCGGATTTCATCAAAAATATCTTAATTTGTGTTCCGAAGATGAACGAAGGTCTTATGGGTTTGGAACATCATGAGGGTGAGCAATTAATGACAGAATTTTCTTTTTTTTTTTCAGAACTATCCCTTTAAAGGCCTGTTCACACCAAGGACGATAACTATAAAGATAACGATAAAGATAAAGATATAGTTCTAAAAATCGTTCTCAATATTAAAGAATAGCAGAGTCCACACCGCAGCTATAACGATAAAGGCACAGAGAAACAATATCGTTGGAATCACTTTCAGAACAAATTTTTCTCCAGCTGATGAACGATAAAAACACTGACAGTCTATCAGAATCAATCCTGCTATAACGAGCTTGAGAATTTAAAGCGGCAGACAAGTGTGCGCTTGGAATAAACAGATGATATCGTCCGCTGGCTGGTGTGGACGCTAATGAACGTTATCTTTATAGTTATTGTTCTTGGTGTGAACGGGCCTTAAGACTAAGCAATTCCTATTGATCAAGCTGAAGGAAGGTTTTGTTGATTATGCATTCTCAAGACATTTTTAAACAGAATTACTCTAAATGGAATGTGTAGTTATCATATTCACCCCCATTTGAAGCTTTTCATATTTCCCCAAGATATACATTTAAAATATTTGAGACCTCTCCAATTATAACAAATCTTTTTTTTTTTATTCTGTCATGCAGTTTTGGTGAGGAAAAAAAAGCAGTTCAAATTAAATTATATAATTGACAAAAAAAAAAGTACCAACACTGAATATGGTATAAAACCACAGTAATTCATGTAAAAATACAGGCTATTATTTAGAAAAAAAAAATGGTGGTTTTTTTTTTTTTTTTTGTTTGGGGGGGGGGGGGGGGGGGGGGAACAGAAAACACAAGTATTTTATCTGAATAAGACTTGATTCTGATGGGATATCGACAAACTGGTTAGACAGAATAAAAACAGTCAGACTACCATGTGATCTCAACCTTGTAACCCTGACAACATGGCCCCAACAGAGCAGTCAGATCCAGCCAAGGGCCAAACATCTGAGGCAACCTTTAAATACTGAACCCTGATCCCTGAGGTTATTAACCCTCAACTACCAGAACCAGCTCAGCAGCCTCTGTGCCTTGAATGTCCAATGTCCATTACCCTAAAGGTCAATCACAGGCTTTGTGTGTCACATGACTCGCTCTTCAGGCAGCATTCCTGAGGTTACTTCCTCTCAACCCCTCTTTAGTGGAGAACAGACAAGTCCACAGACCCTACAGACTCTCTGCCATGGGCTGTAATGTCACATAGCTGTGTGTAAAGACTGCAAAACATTTCTTAACAGTAATTTAAGTCTACATTAAGCTGGCTCCTTTCAATCGCACCAGTGATTTTGGAATATACTGACTCGCACCGAAAGAACTACAATCCCATGACCCACTGAAAATGACAATCAAATTAAAAGCCAAGGGGAAAACTACTGATTAAATAAAAATATTAATATTTTTTGTTTATTGCAAAATATGCAAATACATTAGCATTTTGAGAGCACAGACTGACTGACTTTGCGTCCGAAACCACATCCTGTCCAGTAGGTATTGCAGTTGGTTCTAGCTGAAGTAGTAGTACTTTTTAGTACTTTTCACCTTACTATGAATTCGGACATACTACTCATCTCAACTATTGTTTTTCACCTACTATATAGTACGGAAGTAGGCATATTCGGACACAGGGTGACTTCAACACTATTTGCGGTGCTTCATGGGAGGGGGCGGGCACTAAAGAGTTATTCGCAATTCTCTGATTGGTGGAGATTTCCGCTGTTGAACTGATGATTATTTATACATAATGATTACTTTAAAAATAAGTTGAAATAATGCAGACTGAAGGCTTCAACAAAAACATGCACCATCTACTAATACCCGCGTAGCTCACAGTAGATATAGAAGTTATTGTTAAAGATCATTTCCCCTATGGAGAAAATGAATGGGGTTTTTAGTTCCAGAACAGACTGCTGCCCACCTACTGTTCATTGCATGTGTCATGTGATGTCAACATGGCAGTACCCA